AATTACGTCAATAGAGGACTTTGAATATATATGAATAAGATCATTCAAGCTGCAAGCACTGCGCTCTAGTGCAAGATACACAAAATCTTGGTCTTGCTCCACTCCGTACCATCTAACAATATTTGGATGATGATCAGACAACACAAGATTTTGAATTTCCTTAGAGGCGATATCATGATGGGCCCTCACAAGGCGTTTCACGGCAACTGGACGGCCTTCATAAATCCCTTCAACAACAATGGTACCATTGCTACCTTTTGCAATCTCTTTGCTTGAGACAAATAACTTACCAATATTGCGTCCATCTATGTAAGAATTTGGTTGATTTAGGTTCAGAAAGTCATTACAAGTGTTATTAACCAAATTTTCTTCTTTGTCCATTTTCTCACTGTTACTTCTTCCCTTCCCAGATTTCCGAGGTTTCTTCCTTTTCGAAGATACGTTTACACCAGTGACATAAGAAGGCTGAGCAATCAATTTTACTTTTACTACAGTGATCAGATTATAATGGTAGACAACAAAAGCTAGAAGACCAATAGAAAAAAGAATGAGCTGGAATGAGATGAAGTTGTCAGGAAATAGCATAGAACCATCATTTGATGGCAATTTCACGTCTTGCACATGAGATTTTCGACTCTCATCATCCAACATTTGAAAAGAAGGAACGGCCTCGGGGTCCTGGGAGTAATGCACGTCCAGAATTTTATCACTATTGCACAATGAAGGAAGAAGTTCAAGAACTTTATCAATATTTGGTTGTGAAGGAAGAGCATCCGATTTTGGTGCTGGAAGCATGAGATCTTGGCCATGAGGCTCTGGCAGCCAATTATGCCCGGAGAAGGGTTCGAATATATTGTGTGTGCGGAAGCGATAGACGCGAGCTCTTGATCGACAATTCAATGGCATAGTAAAAGGAAGTCTAGGTTCAGAAGAGTCTGAATCTGAAGTACTCTGATCAAGTGACTCTTCAATCTCTGGACAGAGAAAAGCAGCACCAATCTCAGCAACAGTCATGTTCCACAAAACTTTATTGGAGTTCGGAATAAATGATGTCAATGTATAATCTGTCCTAGTGATGTAAAGCCGTTTCTGATCAGTCTTTATGTCGGAGCTAGACTGAACCAG